CCGCTCTCACTTTTCAGGTTACACACACCTATTGGAGTAGCAAAAATGGTAAAGGCGGCCAGGCAAATCAGGAGGCATTATTTCACCACTATTTCATTGGCACCATCTATGGGAAATTCTTCCACTGAACACAAAACTATGTCAAGAAGTGATACACGCTTAAGTGTAGCAACGGCGGAGATGGAATCAGAATCAGTCGCAGGGGCCCCGACCCGTCACCACCACCGTAATATGTGACACAAAGTCAGTTCAATACCCTGGAGACCCAGTAGGCGACTATGATGACCCTTTTGCGGAATCAAACGAAGCGAGCCACCCTCCCGCCATCGCATTCGTAGGGGCCATGCCACCACCTCAGGAGGAGCACATAGAAGCACCACCTGTCATCCAACCAATGATTGTAGGCTCGGGGGGGCTCCAGGGGCTACCATTTCTTTAAAGCCATAAGGGGCTCTACAAATTTCAAGTGGACTTAAGAGTGCGAAGAATCACTGGAATCCTCAAAGAGGTTACTATAGCAGCTTTCTATTATGACCAGCCCATGCTCGGGGGACGTATTGTGTCTCTACCTCACGGTGTTGCCCCAGGCAGTCAACGCAGTTCTTGTGAAAGAATTTTCAAAGGCACAAAAACTAGTCAACTGCATAAGTCAAGTCCTAAAAGACGCAGAGACAAGATACAGTCTGGTTGAACAACTGGTGCTTGAGTTGATTGTTGCAGTCAAAAAATAGAGACCTTACTTTCAGTCCAATATGTTGCAAGTTATGACGGACCAACCCATCAAGCAGATCCTAAACCGACTGGAGACATCCGAGAGCTGCTGAAATGGGAAATTGAAATAAGTGAATTTGACATTGAATTTAGGTCCAGGACAGCATGAAAGCACAGGCTTTGGCAAATTTCATTGCTGAGCCCACCACCTCAACAAAGCCCCCAAGAAGGGCAAAAAGCAGATTGGAAGGTTTTTGTGGATGGTTCCTTGAATGCAGAGGGATTAGAGGCAGGGATCATAATAATTGGACCAAACTCCCAAGAATTGGAATACTCATTGCACTTCGAGTTCTCCGCTATTAATAACGACGCCGAGTATGAAGCAGTAATCATGGGCCGAGGTCTGGCAGCTAGGCTAGGAGTGTCTTCAGTATAGGTTTGCAGTAACTCGCAGTTGATAGTTGGATAGGTGTTGAGGGAGTTTGAAGCGAAAGATGGAAAAATGGCGATATATCTAATGAAAGTAAGGGATTTACAAAGGGAATTCACAAGCTTTAAGTTGACTAAGATCCTACAAAAAAATAATGAGTGGAGAGACGCATTGGCAAGCCTAAGAAATCTACTATGAGCAACGAATGTGCAAGTCCTACGACAACCCAACATTCAATGTTGGGCCAAGGTGAAGAACATTGAGTATGAAGAAAACTGGATGGATCCACTGATCAAATATCTCATGGATGATGAGGTGCCAGAAAATGCCTTCAAAGCAAAGAGGTTGAGGGCTCGAGCAGCCTCGTTTACCATCATCGATGGGCAGCTCTACAAATGGGGCTTTACATTGCCATATCTGAACTGCTTACTCCATGGAGGCATGCGGTCGACATAGCCCATGTGGCTATGTGAAGAGCCTTAGAAGCCAAAAAAACTGGCTGAAGCCCTTAACTGCTAGATCCCTCTCCTGACGTTCGACATAACCCACGTGGCTAGGTGGAGAGTCTTAAAAGCCAAAAAATTGGCTAAGGCTATTAACTGCTAGATCTCTCTCCCGACAGTCGACATAGCTCACACGGCTAGGCAGAGAGCTTTAGAAGCCAAAAATTTAGCTAAGGCCTTAATCGTTAGACCCTCTTCCGATGGTTGACATAGCTCATACGGCTAGGCGAAGAGCTTTAGAATCTAAAAATTAGCTAAGACCCTTAACCGCTAGACCCCTCTCTCGACGGTTGACATAGTTCATGCGGCTAAGCAAAGAGCCATAGAAGTCAAAAAATTGGCTAAGGCCCTTGATTGCTAGACCCCTCTCCTGACAGTCAACATATCCTACACAGTTAGACGGAGAGCCTAGAAGCCAAAAAAATTGGCTAAGGCCCTTAACCGCTACACCCTCTTCCGACGGTCGACATAGTCGACACGGCTAGGTGGAGAGCCCTAGAAGCCAAAAAATTGGCTAAGGTCCTTAACCGCTACACCATTATTCCGACAGTCGACATAACTCACGTGGCTAGGCGAAGAGCCTTAGAAGCCAAAAAATTGGCTAAGGTCCTTAACCGCTAGGCCCCTTTCTGAACAATCGACATAGCCCACGCGGCTAGGTAGAGAGCCTTAGAATTCAAAAAATTGGCGAAGGCCATTGACTGCTAGACCCCTCTCTCGATAGTCGACATAGCCCACGCGGCTAGGCGAAGAGCTTTAGAATCAAAAAATTGGCTAAGGCTCTTAATCGCTACACCCCTCACTCAATGATTGACATAGCCCATACGGCTATGCGGAGAACCTTAGAAGTTAAAAAATTGGCTAAAGCTACTGCACCCCTCTCTTAACGGTCGACATAGCCCACGCGGCTAAGCGAAGAGCTTTAGAAGTCAAAAAATTAGCTAAAATCCTTAACCGCTAGACCCCTTTCCCGATGGTCGACAAAGTCCATGTGGCTTGGCGGAGAGTCTTAGAAGGCAAAAAAATTGGCTAAGGCCCTTAATTGCTAGACACCAAGCCTGACGGTCGACATAACGCAAACAAGAAGATAGAAAGCCTTCGACAACAACAAAAAAATAATAATAATAAAATAAATTTTTCGAGAAAAAGAAAATGCTACCCCTTGTCGAAAAACATCGACAAGGGATAAAGGGGCTAGTGATATTGGATGTCGTAGACAACCGTTTGTAATAACTAGTAAGGTAAAGTATTACACGCTGACGCAAGACCGTCGACCTTTCATGAGTGCTTTGCCTCTACGAGTGGCCATCGACCCCCATGGGCGTTCTACCTATACGCGAGGCCGTCGACCCCTCCATAAGCGCTCTACCTCTATGCGAGGTCATCAACCTCCCATGGGCACTCTACCTCTACGCGTGGCCGTTGACCCCCCATGGGCTCTATACCTCTACGCTAGGTCGTCGACCCCCCATGGGTGCTCTACTTTCGCGTGGCCATCGACCCCCCATAGAGGCTCTACCTCTACGCAAGGTCGTCGACCCCCATGGGTGCTCTACCTTTAAGTGAGGCCATCGACCTCCCATGGGCGCTCTACCTCTATGCGATGTCGTCGACCCCGCATGGGCGCTCTACCTCTACGCGAGGCTGTTGACCCCCATTAGCGCTCTACCTCTACGCGAGATGGTCGACCGACATGGAATTATCTATGTGACCATCAAAATACTTAGCCATAAATCTTTGATGAATTGACAAAATTCCATGGCGGTTACCACGGACACAACCTCTAGGTGGGAAGTTAAAGACCCCCCACTCAGAACATGGGGGTAGTGAGAAAGCTAACGTGGGACACATGGCACCACGACCGCCCGATACTCACTCGACTTCCAGTGTCTATAAATACCCTTGATGGTGACACAGGTATGGGAGATTGCATATATTTTAGCCACCTGAATTCTGACTTTATTTTCTCCTAACACCTATACTGATTCTCACGTCGAAGGTAAAACGGGGGAGAAAGCCCTGCACTCACTTTTCAGGTTATACACGTTCGTTGGAGTAGCAGAAATGCCAAAGGCCGTCAGGCAGATCAGGAGGCATTATTCCACCACCCCGTCCTCACTTTTCAGGTTATACATGCCCGTTGGAGTAGCAGAAAAGCCAAAGGCCACCAGGCAAATCATGAGGCATTATTCCACCACCATTTTAGTGCTTTTCTTCCAAGATCTCAACTAAGAAAGCTATGATACATGAGTAAGCTATCTAGCACCACGATAAATTAAGTGAGAAGAAGGTAAGGTTTTGCCCTCTTCTGTGAGTTCAAGCTCACCTCAAGAAGATGCAAGAAAGATAATATTTTTATGAGTTTAAAGTTAGAATTTTTCCCTGCAATGTGAGAGGAGAAAGAGGGGAAACACCGTGCAGAACAAGAGTCAAGCATGGAACGAAGGAAAAAGAAGCAAAAGAGGAAGAAAGTAGGTACAATACTGCTCATTAGAGAGAGGGAGAAGGGAAAAAATCCAAAATTTACAAATCCACTATTAAAGAAGGTGGGAAAAAGTCAGAGAAACATTCATTGAGTTTAGGATTAAGTGAGGATTAACATCCCCAAACAAATAATTAAAAAAATTCCCTCAAGATTGAGTCCCTAGCGAAGATATATGTTGTGGTGCTTCAACTCGTGGAACCTGAGCATCAGAAACCATGGCATTCTCCTTTCTATGGACCTCAATGAAGAAGCGTTGTAGCTGATCAACACCTATTACACTGTTATCGAGTACTGCTCAAATAAGGCATTGATGTCAGGGTTGATAACAATATAATGAATCTTAAACCAATATGTTGAATCAATTCAAAAAGAAGAAAAGAGAAGAGAAGAAGAAGAAGAATAAAGAGAGAACCAAAATCTATTGAGCCATTGGAATTCAGGTTTTCAAAGAAAGTAAAAACAGTTTTTATACTACTACAAGGAAACCTAAAAATAATAGGAAACCTAAAAAAAGGAAATTACATATTATGCTAAAATAAATAACTAAATAACTAACACACGTTTTCATCCCCCCTCAAACTCAAGATGCTAAAGCAAGAAGCAGCGAGAGTTTGTCACGCAAAAAGCGAAAACGATAAACCGGATGAGACTTAGTGAAGAAGTCAGCAAGCTGCAACGATGAAGAAACAAAAGGTAGGGAAATGGTGCCAGTCTGCAGATGATGATGAACCAAATGACAATCAATATCAATATGCTTTGTGCGTTCATGGAACATAGAATTGTGAGAGATCTGAATGGCACTAGTATTATCACAATACATGGGAGTTGGGGAGGAATGAGAAACACCCATGTCTACAAGTAACCATCGCAATCACACAATCTCAGTGGTGGTAGATGCCATAGCTTGATACTCTGCTTCTGTAGAGGAGCGGGAAACAACAGTCTGCTTCTTACTTTTGCAAGAGATAAGTAAATCATCCAAAAATACACAAAAACTCGTAGTGGACTTGCGATCAATGGGGTCGCTGGCCTAATCAGCATCAGAGTAGGCACGGAGCACTAAGGATGAGGTCGATGGAAACAAAAGACTCTGAAAGCATGTACCACGAAGATAACGCAAAATACGAACAACTGCTGCCCAATGAACTGTAGTAGGAGCTAAAACAAATTAACTAACAATGTGAATAGCATAAGCAATATCAGGACGTGTGATGGTAAGATAAACTAGACATCCAACAATAGTGCGATACAAAGTGAGATCAGTCAAGGGTACACCATCAGAGGATGAATATCGAGCATTGGACTCAAGAAGAGTATCAGCAGATTTATTATCAATAAGACGAGCACGCTCAATGACATCCATAGTATACTTGGACTGAGAGATAAGATAACCTCTAGGAGAAGAAGCAACTTCGGTCCCCAAAAAATAAGATAGTGTGCCCAAGTCCTTCATTTCAAAACGACAAGCCAATTCTGATTTCAAACTTGCAATTCCATCAACATCATCACCAGTAATAATCATATCGTCAACATATAGCAATAATAGAATGCGACCAGCTGAAGTGCATCTAAAGAATAAAGCGGAGTCATGATGACTGGATGTAAAACCAAGAGAGCTAACAACAGTGAAAAATTTCTCAAACTAGGCACGAGACGCTTGTTTGAGGCCATAAAGTGCCTTCTTGAGTTTTTAAACAAATCCAGGAGAGTGAGAAAGGCCAGGAGGAGGAACAATATAAACCTCCTCTTGAAGATTTCCATTTAAAAAGGCATTTTTGACATCCAATTGAGAGAGACTCCACTGACGAATAGATGCAACTACAATAAGTGTACGAACAGTGGTCATCTTGGCAATAAGAACAAAAGTCTCTTCATAATCCAAACCATACTGTTGATTAAAACCTTTAGCAACCAATCTAGCCTTGTAGCGTTCAATCAAACCATCAGATTTGGTTTTAATCTTATAAACCCAACGACAATCGATAGTATGTTTACCTGAAGGCAATTCAACCAAGTCCCAAGTATCTGTCTTATGTAGAGCAGAAAGTTCATCAGCTATAGCTTGTTGTCAAAGAGGATCCAAAATAGCTTCTTTATAGGAAGATGGTTCAACTAACTTATGAAAGGATGTTAGAAAATTGCAAAAGGACTCAGAATAACAAGAATAATCAAAATCAGGTAACTGAGTGGACTTATGAATACGTTGAGGATAACGAAGAAGAGATGAAGCAGGAGCTGGATCAACAATCTCAGGCGGTGCTTGGGAAGCCATAGAAGGAGGAGGGGTAGCATGATCTGAAGCATGTGTACCTATAGGACATGAAGAATTAATAGTACATGGGGTATGGGAAGGTGAATTGTTTATATCATCAGAGAATGGATCAATATAAATGAGGTCAATTTTGGTCACATTATGAGTATTATCAGAAATGGAGAAGAATGGAATGTGCTCAAGAAACACGACATGACGAGAGACATATAATTTATTATTAATGGGATCGAAACAACGATAACCCTTTTGCCCTTGCCCATAACCCAAGAAAACACAAATAGCAGAGCGAGATGTCAACTTATTACGTTCAACTTCAGGACGAAGAACAAAGCAAGTACAACCAAGGACTCTCAATGAAGAGTAATCCAGAGAATGCCTATACAATGTTTCAAAGGGTGATAAACCTAAATTGTGGGAAGATGAAATCTTATTAATTAAAGAAACAGCAGTAAGAGCTGCTTCTCCCCAAAACTCACTGGGAACTTTGGCAGATAAAAAAGTGAACGAGCAGTTTCCACAATGTGCCTATGCTTTCGTTCAGCAATACCATTTTGTTGTGGGATATTAGTACAAGAGGTTTGATGAATTGTACCGTCAAGAGCAAGCAATTTAGAGAATTCGGATGAAGTATACTCTCCACCCAAGTCACATCGAAAGCACTTAATTACAGTTGAATGTTGAGTTTTAATAAGTGCTCTAAATGATCGATAAATAGAAAGAAAGTCAGATCGTCGCTTCATAAGATAAACCCAACAATAACGACTATAATCATCAATAAAGGACACATAATATCGAGACCCTCCTTTTATAGTAACTGGAGTAGGTCCCCACACATTAAAGTGAATAAGATCAAATGGTGCAACAGAATGAGAAATACTTCGAGGAAAAGGTAAAGCAGAAAATTTTGCTAATTTACAACCACTACAATCAGAAATATCATGAGTTTGTATATTTCCCAATTGACTCTTAGAAGCTAAAAATTCTAAACGACTAGCGGAAACATGTCCAAGGCGAGAATGCCACAAATAAAAACTAGAAAACGATGAATTCAAAGAAAAAGATGACAAATCAACACCAGAGGCTGCAACGTGTGGTGATCTTAGATTGTCCAGAACATATAACCCTCCTTGTCTACGGCCTATCCCAATCAGCTTCTCAGATTGAGGATCCTGCACTATCCAGAATCACACAATTGACCAATAGAGATAAGATTCAAAGTAAGAGCTGGAACACAATAGACATCTGACAGTGACAAATTATGTGTATTAACTGAACCAACACCTGCTAAAGGTAATGGTGTACCATTAGCAGTCATAATAGACATAGATGGGTTGGAAGGACACAAGTCATTAAAGAATTTTGAATTAGACGACATGTGTTTGGAAGTACCTGAGTTAAAGATCCATGAGGAAGAAATACCTGAGTGACTCTGTGATAACAAACCTATATGAGTGGAGGCTGACATAGCATGTGGTTGTGTGGCTAAGAATTTTTGAAACTGCTCTGCTAAGTCCGTCAACATGGGATTGGATGAAGGTGGTGCTCCAAGTATGGATGAATCATTAGGTGGCATGGTGGCAGCTATGTTAGCATTTGGACGATAAGATCACTGCTGTGATTGAGGTTGCTGCTTTTTCAATAGCTTTGGACATTGAGACTTCCAATGTCCTTTTTGTTTACAAAAGTTACACTCATCAGTAGCAACTCGCACATAACCTTTATTCTAGTTCTGTGTGGATAGTTAAGGAGGTACAGCCAACACTGAGGTGCTAGATGGAGGAAGAGATACTTCTCCCGCAAGAGATTTCAAACGTATTTCTTCAACTACAAGTTCACTAACCATCAAATCAACTGAAAGAAGTGGAGTGCGATGCAAAATAGAGCCTCCGAGTCCCTCAAAATCACTGCGAAGTACCATAAAAAACTGAACTGATCGCCGCTCCTCTCTAAAAGTAATATATTCCTCACATGCTTTCAGCCCTGCTGATTCCGTAAGAGCCAGCTCATCCCAGATGGAGTTCATAGCAGTGTAGAACTCAAGAATACTCATATCTTTCTGATGTAAAGCTCGTATATCAATTTCCAACTGATACCATTTTGCAAAGTTAGATTTACTGTATAACGTTTGAAAATGCTCCCAAACTTCTTTTGCTGTTTCAAACTTCGCCGATTGTGTACCAATGGATTGCTCAACGAAATTGCAGAACTATTGTGAAACTCGAGAACACTGCTTAGAATTATGAAACAGAGTTAGATAATTGTGAATCCAAGTGAGAATTTTCGCGTTGTTTGACTCCCAATTATCTAACTCTGTTTCATAATTCTAAGCAGTGTTCTCGAGTTTCACAATAGTTCTGCTAACATAGCCCCATAATCTTTTTCCCTTTAAAAAATTTCTCATCACTGTACTCCAATACGAGTAATTTTTACCATTGAGTCTGACACTAATGGATTGAAGTGAATCATCTCTTTCAGTTGCCATCATAAAGTCAATAAATAACCAACTATGAATCAACGAAATTATCCAATTTTTTAAGGAAACCAACGATAACCAACGTACTTCCACAAACTATAGTTGAAATATACTACACAGTATACGTATAACCAAAGTAATACCACCAAAAGATCAAAAATTTACCAAGGAACAAACTGCCTTTCGGAATCACCTTGAAAAAACGACGCACGCGCCCTCACGCACCACCACCGTCTCTGCGCGTGGTCCTCACGCGCCACCGCCACGCTTCACGCTCCACCTAACACCGACACGCGCCTGACCGGACGTTTCGTCTCAACCTGCTGAACAAGGATCTGGTCTCCGTTTTCTTAATGGATCTCCAGTTTGGTCGAAATCTTGATTTTAAGTTGCGGTCGAATAGGTTTTTCATACAAACTTTCTTTGCCTGATTTCTATCTTGATTTCAGCACGACCCAAACAGAAATTTCACAAATTTCACTCAATTATAGGCTCTGATACAATGATAACAATATAATGAATCTTAAACCAATATGTTGAATCAATTCAGAAAGAAGAGAAGAGAAGAAGAAGAAGAATAAAGAGAGAACCAAAATCGATTGAGCCATTGGAATTCAGGTTTTCAAATAAAGTAAAAACAGTTTTTATACTACTACAAGGAAACCTAAAAATAATAGGAAACCTAAAAAAAGGAAATTACATATTATGCTAAAATAAATAACTAAATAACTAACACACATTTTCAGGGGTGACTTTTCCCTTGCTGCCATGCGGAACCGACTACAGAACCAAAAGCATACTTTGTAAGTCTGCTTTGACATCTGATGAAACTTTTGAGAAGATTTTTTAAAAGCCTTAGAGAGGGAGGAGCGGATAGGTTGAGTGGAAAAAGAAAGACCCGAGCAATAGAGTTGGAAAGTGAGAGTGTAAAAGAGAAAGAGAAAGAGAAAGGGAAAGTGAGAGAAAGACGATAGAAGTATCTGCATACATCCGAAGCAAACAGTAAAAACCAATTGATTTAGTGTTTGAGGGAAGGTTAATAGCAAAGGAAGGTTGCAAAAGCTGAAGTATAATCAAGTGGAGATGATAGTAAAAAGAAAAACGATATCGTTTTGAAGGAGGAAGAGATGGGCACTATTCCTATGAACAGTGCCATACAAAGTGGCTCTGTTATATTATTGGGATAAGTGAATTTTTGTCTTATTAGTTGTATTTTATTTTATAAACAATTTTTCTGCATTAAAGTATTTATTACTCATAAGTAATTTTATAATTATAATGCATTTTTCGTTATCATTTTAATTTAGAAAGTGAAATTTTGTGAAGAACGTATGTAATTGAAGTTAAGATTAAACAATAATAAGTATTTATGCTGTGTGCGTACATCGTGGGGGGTACAACATAAAAAAGAAAAACTTGAGGAACATAAAAGCTAAAATTGCTTAGAATGAAGTGTCTGTTTAGTCAGAGATTTTTGCACAATCATACAGTGACAGTACACAAATAGACGAGAGGGAGAAAAACTTTGGAAGTTTGATAGATGAATTAAATTGGTGGATTATCAGACAAAGACATTTGGAAATTTTGAGGAATAGTAGTAAAAAAACGTTCAATAGATAAGTTAACCTAATGACAATTGTAAAATTTGATCAATATTTTTTAAAGGCATTAAATAGAGTATTTGTCAAAGCAAGAGAAAATTTTTACGAGATAAAACATAAATAGATTTGAAATTTATAGCTCAACGACTTAGTTTAATGGATGGTGTTGTGTGATT